GCTCAGTAGTTAAGGACTCCTATGTTCAAGTCCCTAGTAAAAAACAAACAGTAACAACAACAATTAAAAAAAAAAAAAAAAAAAGCTGAGGAAAAGAGTTTTTCAGCCCCCAAACCTTTTCTTTCTTTTTTTTGGTGGTGCTGGGGATGGAACCCAGGGCCTTGTGCATGCAAGGCAACCACTCTACCAACTGAGCTATATCCCCAGCCCATCTTTTTTCTTCTTTTTCTTTTTTTTTGATCAGTCTATTCTATCATCATCTGTCCAAAGCTCACATCATCAGAGAGATGACAAATGAAAGAACATCAAAAGCTAAGCAATGCTCTACAGCTAGGTGAGGGTGGGAGGAGCTTTGCAACTTGTGCTGTTTCTTGTCAATATTCTTTCAAGAACTTAGGCCAATGTTAAGATTGATCCTCATTTGTGTGGCTATTTAATATACCAAACAGCCTTGACCTTCTTCCATCTCAGCAACAAATTCCAGAAAAGACTCACCGCTTCAGCAAAATCAGGATTAAATTTCAACAAGTTGTTCAATTCTTTCTGCAAGGAAGCTGGAGTGAGGGCTTTAGTCTCATCATTCTTTAACAAAGAAGCCTGAAATTTAAAATGTCAACTCAGTAAAAAGATATGGTTAATTAACACATGAAAATACATACTAACTAGCATCACTTGATGATTTTCTTTTCCACAGAGAGCCCTTAAGGTCCAGTCCTGGTCTCCTCAGTCCTTGCCTTCTGCCCTCACTCCAGGACCTGACTGGAACACATTCTCCTCCTTACCATCCACATGGCTGCTTCCTCTCCTCAAAACACCAAGTGTCCTGAACACCATTCCCCACCTGCAAACCCTTCCCAGGACTAGCCAACTATGCCCACATCTAGCTCACCCTCCAGGTCCCAATTTAGATTTCAGCTACTTGTTTCTATCACTTTCTAGACTAGGCGAGATCTTACAAGCCTTCTGTACTTTCCCTTCCTGTAGCACCTAATAGACTACATTAAAATGGCCAGTCTGACCCTTCCCAGAAAGTAAAAGCTCCTTCCAGGCATGCAACGTGTTTACTTATCCTTCTAACTCCAGTGCTTACTTGCAAAGTGCCCTGTGATATCCAGGTCCCTGTCCCACCCTAGTTGTTTCTTATGGGTAATATCAATAACAATTATACAAATCATGTTGCAATAGTTTGGATGTTAAATGTCCACGTGTTAAAGCCTTGGTCCCCAGGTTGGCAATGCTGCAGGGATACCTTTAAAAGACAAGGCCTATGAATGACTTAGGTCATTCAGAGCATTCCTTTGAAAAGGACAGTAGAATATTGGTCTCTCAGTCTGTTTCCTCAGTCTCTGTTTTCTGGTGAGAGACATGATCACCAGCATATATTCCTACCAGGATGTGCACCGCTCACTAGAATCCCAAACCAATGGGGTCACCTGATCTTGGACTTGAAACTCCCAAACTGTGCCCAAAATAAACCTCTCTTTACCTCCTAAGCAGCCTATGTCAGTTATTTCATTACAGCGATGCAAAGCTAATGCATGTGTAGAAAACTAGTTTCAAACTAAATGCTTAATGAGTTTATAGACAATTTACTCCAATTTTGTCTAGTTTTTGCATAAGTAGTAGCAATTTCTCATTCCACTTTTATTTTTTAATTTTTTTTTTGATTTTTAATGTTTTTTTTATTTTTTAGTTGGCGGACACAACATCTTTGTTGGTATGTGGTGCTGAGGATCGAACCCGGGCCGCACRCATGCCAGGCAAGCGCGCTACCGCTTGAGCCACATCCCCAGCCCCCTCATTCCACTTTTAATTCATTTTATCATTTATAGAAAATTCCAAAACTATGGAAAAGGTACAGAACAAAAATCTATAATCCAACCACACAAAAATAATATTAATACTCTAGTGTATTTTATCCTATTTTTTCCTGTATGAGATTATGAATGTGTGTGCTCATAAGTGGATGCGCATGCACAACACATTTTTAACAAGATTAGAATATGACATAATTTTACTTCCTGTTCAAAAAATATTAACATTTTAAACTGTCTCATCATCAAATAGTCTTTGAAAATGGTTTCTAAAGAAAAGGTATTCCCTTTCACTCACATTTTATTTTTATTTTTTAGTTCTCGGCGGACACAACATCTTTCTTTGTATGTGGTGCTGAGGATCAAACCCAGGCCGCACACATGCCAGGCGAGCGCGCTACCGCCTGAGCCACATCCTCAGCCGTTTCACTAACATTTATTGCAAATGCTTTTACATTTTGTTGCTTGCCTTCTAATTTTGTTTGAACATGTTATGACACGAAGACATTAATTTTTATGCTGAAAAAGCAAATGATCTTCTACTTGTTTTCTTCCCCAGCTTTTATGTTTAGAAAGTCTTTCCCCACCCAGATCAGTTAAAAGTTAATATGTAGTTCCTACTGTTCTAATTATAACTTTAAGCGTTCACATTTAACTCTTTAATCCATCTGTAATGTAATGAGATGTGAGGGGGAGAGGAGGATACAGCTGACAAGCATTTTTTTCCTTAGAGTTAACCATTGTGTAGGTGAGCTTTTCTAACCTGTCTGAAATTAACCTGCAGAAGTGAGTACATAAATTTTATCTAGATCTAAATGTTATATCTTCCTGCAGAAAAAAAACTCTTGGGGAGTATGGGGGTATTGGGTATTGAACCCAGGAGTGCTTTGCCACAGAGCTACATCCCCAACCCTTTTCATTCTTTGAGACAAGGGTCTCAAACTTGCCATCCCTCTGACCCAGCCTCCCAAATCACTAGAATTACAGGCATGTACCACTGCACATAACCAGAAAAAAATTAACAAAATCAGAAAAAACTAGAAAAATAGGACGAAAAATAAAAATTCTATACTGAAAATAACAGAAGGAAAAATGTTCAGCTTACATTACCAAGAAAATGAAAACACGTGGCTCAAAAGCAGCAAAAAGAAATGTTTGTATCTGGGCTGGGGTTGTGGCTCAGTGGTAGAGTGCTTGTCTACCATGCATGAGGCACTGGGTTCGATTCTTAGCACCACATAAAAACGAAATAAAAATACGGTGTCCACCTACAACTAAAAAAAAAAAAAAAAGTCAAAATAATAATAACAATAATAAAAAGGTATATTAGAAAAAGAAATGCTTATATTAAAGTATACTGGTGTCTGCAACTTGCAATACATCAAAAAATAAGATAAAGCTGGGTGTGGCTGCACAGGCCTGAAACCCCAGCAATTTGGGAAACTGAGGCAGGAGGGTCACAAGTTTGAGGCCAGCATGGGCAACTTAGTGAACTATGTCTCAAAGTAAAAAATATAAAATAAAAAGGCCTAGGGATGTAGCTCAGCTATAAAGTGTCCCTAGATTCAATCCCTAGTACTGCAAAAAAATAAAGATGAAATCGGATAGAGGATGGGTAAATATTTATAATTGGCTAAAAGATAGGTAAGTATTTGGTAAACACAACAAAATATTAACTGTGGGATAAAGGTGATGGGCTTACAGACATTCATAAATTTTTTTGACATTTTTAATATATGAAAAATGTCCATAAAAAACAAATGTTGGGAGAAGGGAAGCACATCTTCTAACTCGTGTGTTTCTGGGCACATATCATTACTAAAGGAACCTTCAATATAAAGTTAATAGAAAAATAAAATCACAAAAAATAAGGGATACATAGCTACAACTACATTGTTGGTGGAAAAGGTAGAACCAAGAGTCAAGGATAATGCAGATTCACTAATAAACCTCTCAACATCACAGGCATATGCCATAATACAGAATGKCACAAAAATCTTTAAAACTTCATGATAATTTGCAGAATTAACATACCTGCTGAGAAAGAAAAAATTCTGCTTGTTTTTGAGATAGAGGTCCACTGCAAGATACCTCTTCTTCTCTGTAAAATAACAAAAATAGTAATAAATTAAACAAGAGTAAAAATGACAACATACACAAAATCAAAGATTTTTGCATAAAGAGTCCAAAAACTTAAAAATAATTCCATCTTCTCAGACATGTAATCGCAAAATGATCCATCAATTCCACTTCCAGCTATACACCCAAAAGAACTGAAAGGAGGGACTCACGCAAGCAGATATTTGCACACCCAGGCTCATGCTGGCATTATTCATTACAGTCAAAACATGGAGCCAACCCAAGCGTCCTATGACAGATAAACAAAATATAACATGCACACACAATGAAATGTTATTCAACCTTAAAAAGGGAATTCTGGCATGTGCCTCAACATGGATCAATGAAGTAAATCAATCAAAAAAGACCAATCCAGCTGAAAGCAGTGACGTACACCTGTAATCCCAGCAGCTAGGGAGGCTGAGGCAGGAGGATCACGGTTCAAAGCCAGCCTCAGCAAAAGCGACGTGCTTAGCAACTCAGTGAGACCCTGTCTTTAAATAAAATACAAAATATGGCTGGGAGATATGGCTCAGTGGTCAACTGCCCCTGTATTTTTTYCCCCCAGTACCAAAAAAAAAAAGACGAATACTGTATGATTTCACTTACATGAGGTACATAGGATCATCAAAATAGTAAAAAGCAGAATAGTAGTTGCCAGGGATATGGGGGGAAGGTGGAATGAAGGGTTATTATTTAATAGGTATAGGTTTTATAAGATAAAAAGAGTTACAGAAGCTGGAAGTATAACACGCATGAGGCCCAGGGTTCAACCCCAAAACCAAAAATCCAAATCATGGAGATGGATGTTGGTGATGGTTATACAAGTTATATAAATGTACTTAATGTCAGTACACTTTTTACCACTTAAGATGGTCAAGATGATGGGGCTCAGGTGGTGGCTCAGCAGTGAAGCGTTTGCCTAGCACGTGCAGGGCCCTGGGTTTGATCCTCAACATCACATAAAAAAAAACAAAATTTAAAAAAGGTATTGTATCCAACTACAAATAAAAAATATTTTTTTAAAAAAAGAAAGATGGTTAAGATGGTAAATTTTATGTCAGGTGTATTTTACAATAAAAAATTATTGGGGGAAAAAAAAAGGTGATGTTGAATGACCTGCCAAAGCTCATACAAGATAATCATATAGAAATACAGATCTAAATTCTACACAGCTTCCTTTCTAAAATGCAAATCTACCATATCACCTGTGATGTAAAGCCATTCAGGAATTTCCCACCACCTTGCAAACTGAAGCTTAGCCAGGAAAGAGTAGTGCATTAGGTCCTGCCTCTCCCTCCTACCTACATTCTGGCCTTTACAGGCACCTCAATGCAACAAGACACTGACACTGCTTCCTCGGGCCTCAGTGCTCTTCTCCCAACCACTGTTGTACTTCATACACCATCCATCAATCAGTACTAACTCAAAGGTCATATCCTCCAGGAATTCTTTCTACTTGAGCTCCTACCTCTCCTAGTGATGGCCATCATGCCACTTATGCATCACTACCATGGCTATTCCTCACCTGTGCTGCAGGCAAACACCCAGTACACTCTGTGCCTCCACACACTTCAGGCACTCAATGTTTGGGAAATGAATGAAGTTTGTAACTCCTTGCTAGAGAGATGAGATGGTTCTACAATAAAAAGAAGGAAAGAGGCCTTTTCTTGGAAATCACCATTTGTTAGCAGTTTAGATTACACAGAACAGATAAACAAGAAGTATACTATTATAAATCTTGACTCCAGGACTGGGGATGTAGTTCAGTGGTAGAGCACCTTCCTACCATGCACAAGTACCTGGTTTCAATCCTCAGCCATGAAAAAACAAACAAACAAAACAAAAAACATCTAGACTATTTGCACAAATAAAAAAATTTCATATTGAAAGTAAAGTATGAAAACTATCCCTTTGCCACATGACTCTGAAGAAATGTTTCTCTGTACAGGATTACATAAGAAAAAAAAAAAAAAAAAACAGGCTGGGTGTGTTGCCACACACCTGTAATCACAGCAATTTGGGAGGCAGGAGGATCCCAAGTTCAAAGTCAGCCTCAGCAACTTAGTGAGGCCCTAAACAATTTATTGAGACCCTGTCTCAAAACAAAAAATAAAAAGGACTGAAGATGTAGTGCAGTGGTATAGCACCCTTGGCTTCATTCTCCAGCACGGAAACAAAAACAAAACCTCCAATGCTCAGGTTGTACTGTCCTCCATTGCATCCATGTCAGTTTGTCCCTGTGTCGGGACACCTAGCTCCCAATCTTAAGAGGTCCTCTCTACAGCTCCCCTACCCCAGTCACTCTATATCCCTGTCTCCCATTTCATTTTTTCACTGCGTTGACACTCTCTGAAACTACATATTTATACTCTATTATCTGTTCAATTCCACATAACTACATAAGGAGAGGGACATTCTCTCTTTGCAGACACACAGCATCTAGCACAGTGCCCCACAGTGCCTTCCAATAAATACTTGTTGACTACATTAATGAGTTTGGGAGACTGACATTAAGCCACTGATGAAATACTAGAGAATTCCTACATTTGTGAGGCTCTTGTAAAAACCCACAGAAGAGGTGGCTGGACTAGCCTGCAGCCTACCAACCTTCATGACAAGCTCATGTGGTATAACCCCACAGGTCTCTTCTAGTGCAGTATGCAAGAACTGCAGCATAGTAACAGCAACCCACAAAACACACACACTAACTCTCAGGCTATTTCTTCCATAAATGGATTTTCAAGACACTTGGTAAACATTTATTGACTGAATATTTATCTCCTCACTGCTAAACTAACAGTTGTATTCTCATTTTCAAACAGGAATAATTTCATTGTGAAATGGGAAATCAGCAAGCTATGCAATATTACTTAATGTGCATATTTTTTACCTTTTTAACTTGAATACAAATTTCTAAAGCAAGAAAAATTATTTCCCTGAAGAGCGTTAAAAATATTCTAATAACTATAAGAACAAGAGGGAAGGAAGGAAGGAAGGAAAGACTTTCTCAAAATGCAATAAAACATTAGAAAAGATTACAAAAGGGCTAGAGCACTTGCCTGGTACACATGAGGCATTGGGTTCAATTCCCAGCACACACACACACACAAAAAAAAAAATCACAGAAAGAAAAAACTGAAATCTTCCTTCTCATACAGTTAAAAAAAAAATCTCTAGGGGCTAGGGTTGTGGCTTAGCAGTAGAGCACTCGTCTAGTGCAGCAAGGCCCTGGATTCGATCCTCAGCACCACATATAAATAAATTAATTAAATAAAGGTATTGTGTCCAGCTACAACTAAAAAATAAATATTAAAAAAAGAGGCTTTAAAAAAATTCTCTAGCAAAATAATGTTTTGGACAAAGAACAGTACTTGTATTTATATTCAAATAATACTTCTTTAATTTTCATGATGAAATTCAGTTTCCTAAAGGTACTCTATTTTCTGAAAACATACCTTTATAGTAATTATTATGTTCATAAATGAATTCTTTTTTTAAATATTTATTTCTTAGTTGTAGTTGGACACAATATCTTTATTTTATGTAATGCTGAGGATCGAACTCAGGGCCTCGAATGTGCTAGGCAAGCAATCTACTGCTAAACCACAATCCCAGCCCCATAAATTCTTATTTTATTATTATTATTTAATTATAGGTGGACACAATGTCTTTATTTTACTTTATGTGGTGCTGAGGATTGAACCCAGTGCCTCACGCATGCTAGCAAGCACTCTACCTCTGAGCCACAATCCCAGCCCCATAAATTCTTATTTTATTATTATTATTTAATTATAGGTGGACACAATGTCTTTATTTTACTTTATGTGGTGCTGAGGATTGAACCCAGTGCCTCACGCATGCTAGCAAGCACTCTACCTCTGAGCCACAATCCCAGCCCCCCCCCACTGTAAATTCTTAAATAGGGAAAAACAACAAAAAGATGTAGTTAAACCTAATTGAATTAGCACAGGGGGCACACATCTGTAATCCCAACAACTCAGGAGACTGAGGTAAGGAGGAGCCAAAGTTTAAGGCCAGCCTGGACAATTTATCCAGAGCCTGTCATAGAATAAAAATAAAAAGGGCTGGTAATGCAGCTAAGTGGTAAAAGCACTCCTGGTGTTTAATACCCGGTGCACCAACTAATTAAATCAGATCAATTTAAGAAAAAGCCAGGGGCTAGGGATGTGGCTCAAGCGGTAGCGCGCTCGCCTGGCATGCATGCAGCCTGGGTTCGATCCTCAGCACCACATACAAACAAAGATGTTGTGTCCGCCGATAACTAAAACTAAATAAATAAATAAATATTTAAAAAAAAAAAAAAGCCAAAATAAAACATGAAAAGTTTAAATTAACATTTCCAAAGAAGTGATGCTTCCCTACTCTAAGCAAAGTACCAGAATAAGGATTACACTATAGCATAGAGGCACTGCTTAGGGGAATTGACTGAAAGAGAAGTTGGAATAATAATAATTAACATTTATTGAACACTTTCTATTTACTAACCATAGTTTTAAATACTTAATATAATATAAACTAATTTAATTCTTCTAACACTCTTCTGAGGTGGTATGAGCCCCATTCCGTAGATGAGGAATTTGAAGCACAGAGAAGGTGAGTAATCTGCCCAGGGTCTAAGAGGGAGTAAGCCTCTGAGAATTAAAAAATTCTCTCTTAAAAAAAAAATAATAAATAAGTAAATAAATAAATAAATAAATAAAAGGCTATCTGGTGATGAGAACGATGAAAGAAGTAAAGCCGAAAGTGTTTGGGATGGGGGAGACTCATACCTGGTCAGGGAAGGCCTGTCTGAGGACATGGGAGCTGAGTTCTGGATGGTAAAATGAAAAAATCAGGTGAAAAAATCAAGAAAGAACATTCCAAGAAACCTGTGACACAGTGGTCTGGAGTATTGAAAAAAAAAACAAAAGAAAGCCAGTGAGACTGCTGAGAGCCGAGGGGAGAGCAAGAGCAAGAGGTTGGAGAAGAGTGCAAGGCTAAATCAGGCAGGCCTGGAGCCATGGCAAACTGGGATTTCTGTCTCTGAATTCCAAGAACAACCAATGAAGGGTTTGGGAAAGAAGAGTGCAATGACCTGATTCACACTCTTACAGGTTTCCCAGGAACTGGGTGAAGATGGACTGTAGAGAGACAAGAGACCAGTGAGGATGCTGGTAAAGACGTGCAGTAGAGAACTGGTGCTTGACTCTCAGGGCATTAGTGGTGATGAGAGACACGAACATGATCAGAGCATGCTGGGAAGGAAGGACTGAATGGACCTGCAGAGGGACTGAATTTCAGGGTGAAGGATAGGGAGGAACAAAGGGTATCGATAGTTTCAAGTCTGAACAACTAGGTGAGCAGTGATACCACCTGCCCAATGCCTAGATTTTAGGAGGCATTCAATAAAATTTCAGTAAATTAATGATTGTTAATTCACTTTGATATAATGAATGCTACCAGTCACAGCCTCCCAGAGAAGAAACAACACATTGAAATTGCATAATTTCACTTACCTTACAGACACATCAAGTTCTTCTTTTTCCATTTTTCTTTCTCCTTCCTCTCTACTTGTCAGTTCCATCTCAGTATCCTCCATTGTCTTTTTCTCACCATTTTGGAAGTACTGTTGAAGGGCAGTGTATAGTTTAAACACTTGACTGAAAGAAAGTTTACTGTAGGCCAAGATCATGTGACGCAGAAATAAACCTAGAAAATAAGACCACAGACAAGATGAAAGCATTAACTGAAATCCAGCTACAGGATACCAATGACTATGTGGCACAATCCTTCCTTCACAAGAACCAAAGAGACACTTGCAGGTGCTGTTTCCTCCTCCTGGAATGTTCTTCCCTCATTCTTACAAAGCTCATCTTTCCTTATTTGGGGCTCAGTCCTCCCATCCCAGTTACTCCRTTTTCATCCCTCACAGTCTCTATTTTAGTTTCTTTATAGTTGTTTTAACTATCTGAATCATCTTATTTATTTCTTTACTTTTTACCATCTGGTTTCCCCCACCAAAACATCATCTCCATTAAAGAAAAATCAATGTCTACCTTGTATATCCAGAGCCTGGCACAAAGGAGGAGATCAATAAATACCTGATGTTGAGTAACATAAAAATTACCATGCAAAAAAACCCAGAGAGATGGAGCATGGATACAAAGCTAACAGAAAAGCTTAAAAAAAAWATATATATATATATCCGCATTTTATATACTGTTAACAATAATATATTTTTACTTACCTCTCTTCGTAAGTTTGGTTGGTGACCCTCACTTACAGTTGCACAATGCAGGCAAGTGATCCAGAGAACTGTAAGAAAGAGCTGGCAAACCCTAAAAACCCCAGAACCAGGCTCGGACTCTGACTATTACAGAAAAAGCAGAAGGTACTTTTCCGTAATTATTCTTAAATATCAATTCTTCAACAGCAAGGCAACAAATACAAACCATAACATGTCTAATATCCCTACTGTTTGTTCACAGATAAAGTAAAGGTGTCACTTAGAAAGTTGCTCACTTCAATGAAAATACTCTCTGCTCTTCTTAGAAGAGTTTCATACCTACTACACTTGTTTTGTGAACCTCTGGTTCAGTTCCAGAAAAAGAATCTGAAAGGTCATCAAAAAACTGTTCCATATCCTTCAATTCGCCTTCAGCCATCAGTTTGATTCTGAATGAGAAAAGTGAGGTGTATATTTTAGGAAGGCCCATGCTCCATATTTCTGAAGTATTTCTTCCCACTTTCCATATTCCTGAGTTATCTATTTTAAAGGTGATTCAGAGATTTGTATAAAACAGTAACATGTAAAATAAACTTCATAATCTGAAACGTCACTCCCATATTTCTGAAAAGTAACACTGCTGCTTTCTTTTTTTCTCTTTATATATATTTTTTAATACCAGGGATTGAATCCAGGGGTACTCAATCCTGGGCCATATCCCCAACCCCTTTTTAAAAATATTTTTATTTAAAGACAAGGTCTTGTTAAGTTACTGAGGCTGGCTTTGAACTCTCAATCCTCCTGCTTTAGCCTCCCAAGATGCTGGGATTACAGGCATGCACCACCATGCCCAGCATCATTGCTATTTTCTCGATCATAAAATTTATCCAAGTATCAGCCCATAAAAATAAAATTATCTGCAACAATTAAAAAAAAAATGAGGTAGATCCATACAAAATAAAAACTTCAAGGAAAAAAAAAGCTGCAAAAAAGTATGTTTAATGTATCCATTTTCCTTTAAATTCATTAAAGGTACTTAGGAAAACAACCCTTAGAATAAAGATAAAGTTATTTTTTGGTGGTACTAGGAATTGAACACCGGATCTTGCATAGGTTTGGCCAATGCTCTACTTTTGAGCTACAACCCAGCCCATTTTAAGTTTTATTTTTAGGGGGGGAAAAATGTTTTATTTGCAAAAGAGTCTAAGTTGCCCAGCTGATCTCAAACTTTCCATCCTGCTGCCTTAGACTCCCATATTTTACTTAAAAAATTAATTACCACATGCCCTTTTGTAATTTTTATCTACCTTGAAATCTTTTCTGTATATACAGAAGAAAATAAAATTTACCTGATCTGTACTGAATTTGCCAGCTGAGGACAAGAGTCTTCAATTAACTTGTATAGTTTTGACAGTGTAATGTCTGGGCCCTGAGGAAGGGAGAAATAGGAAAATTACAGATAAATGTTAAAGACCTGTAGACTGACAAAGAACTACAAACATAAATTCATTTATCGACCTCTCTCCTTTAACAATCATTTCAAACRTGAAATATCGAATCAGATTTTTCTTATCTACCTAAAACATTAAACTAATACTTCAAAATTGCATATTGTCTTTTAGTCAGTAGAATAGTCTAAAATGAAATTTATTAATTTATTATATGAGGACGTATAATTCCTTCCTTCAAGCTCTGTAATCACGGCAAAATTGTAACTTCTGAGTCCCAGTTTCCTTCATTAGTTAACAGATGTAAAAACAATTATCTTCCTTATTCGCAGCAAAGATCAGATAAGATAATGTAAAGTGCTTTGTAAACTGGAAAACACTATTAAAATGCAGTTACCATTTTTCATAAACATAATCTCATTTGATTCTTTCCCAGACTTGTAAGGCAGGCAGACACGGTATTTGCTAAGACCATTAAAAGTACCATGATGGGGCTGGGGTTGTGACTCAGAGGTAGAGAGCTTGCCTAGCATGCATGAGGCACTAGGTTTGATCCTCAGTACCACAAACAAATAAAATAAAGGTATGTGTCCACCTGTAACTAAAAAATAAATATTAAAAAAAAAAAAGTACCATGAGGGACTAAGAGCATCAAACTTCTGCTATGAAGATTATAATGGGGGGGCTGGGATTGTGGCTCAGTGGTAGAGCATTCACCTAGCATGAGAAGGGCCCTGGGTTCGATCCTCAGCACCACTTAAAAATAAATGAATGGAATAAAGGTATTTTGTGTCCAATTACAACTAAAAAATAATAATAATAATAATAAAGATTATAATTGGGGCTGGGGTTATGGCTCAGTGGTAGCACGCTTGCTTAGCATGTGTGAGGCACTGGGTTTGATCCTCAGCACCACATAAATAAAATATTGTCCATCTATAACTAAAAAAAAAAAAGATTATAATCTAGGGGCTGGGGTTGTGGCTTAGAGGTAAAGGGCTTGCCTGGCATGCGTGAGGCACTGAGTTCAATCCTCAGCACCACATAAAATAAAGATACTATGTGCACCAATAACTAAAAAATTAACATTTTTTAAAAAGGTTGTATCTAGCTGTATTTTAAAAGAAAACATTGAGTCTTCTTTGAGCAAAAACACAGTGTATACACCAAGTTTAGATGTGGATAATCCAGCAAATCTACTTCAGGGGAAGTTATATTTGGCACACATAGTTTGAAATGAAGAAAAACTGAAAAGAACCTGTAAGTTAAAAAAAAGACTTAATTCATTATAATAAAAAGTTAAACTATGTTGCTTATTTTACTATGAAATATACTGCAATCATTAAAAAGAATATTCAAATGTGCTGACATGAAAATATCTCCAAGACTTGTTAAGTGAAAGGAGCAAGCTGTGGAATAGAAGTAGCATTTATATAAAAAAAAGCAAAATGAAATTAAAAGCACACACATATATATTTATATATACCTATAATCATATGCATCTAGACATCTAGAAAGATCCATTCCAAAGTGTTACTCAACAGATGCATGCAGAATTATCATCTTTCCATTGATTTTTGTATTAAATAAAGTTTTTACAAGACACCTTTGTGCATTACTTSAGTGGTTACAATTTAAAATTTGGAGGCTCAGTTGGTAGAGTGTTTGCCTTGCATGCACAAAGCCCTGGGTTCAATTCTCAGCACAACGGAAAAAAGTCAAACAGTAATAAAGTAAACTTTGATTAAAACTACATAGTAGTTAGCCAAGCAAGGAATCAGAAAGAATTGGGGGGCGGGGGGGGGGGGACATATGCTAAGGCAGGAAGATGGGATTAAGATACCAGGATTATTGCTACTTTTCTGTTCTTACTAATTTTAGTATTTTCACTTTTATTTAAAGAACAGGGAGAAATGCACTTATAGTAATGTGGATAAGACTACAGCCAACAAGTTATAGAGATACTGTCCCTTTTATTTAACTATGTTGTCCTTTTTATTTAACTAAGCAAGACACTTAAGCACTATGTCTTAGGTTGCCACCTTTTCCAGTTCCCCTCCCCCACAAATTCAGGTGAAGGGATATTTTATGTTTGTGGTACTGAAGATTAAATTCAGAGATGCTTTATCACTGAGCTAGCCCCAACCCTTCTTTTATTATTATTATTATTTTTTTGAGACAGGGTCTCACTAAACTGGCCTCAAACTCGTGATCCTCCTGCCTTAATAGCTATGATTACAGACCAGCAACACCATGCCCAGCTGTGATGGATTTTCGAACCCCTTATAAGTATACTGTGTGGCAAAAATGCAATTCAGTATAATTTTGTTAAGTTTATCACTTATGATCTCATCATTTAGAGGCCCAGGCAAAGATCTGTTTCTGTCACCACTATTCCTCAACAAACAATTGCTCATACTTCAAGGTCCACCAGCTTAACATTCCATCTTCTCTAAAAAAGGGCAAATCAAACCGGATGCAGTGGTGCATACCTGTAATCCCAGCAGCTTTGAAGGCTAAGGCAGGATTGTTAGTTCAAAGTCAGCCTCAGCAACTTAGTAAGGCACTTAGCAACTCAGGGAGACCCTGTCTCTAAATAAAACTAAAAAGGGCTGGGGTTGTGGCTCAGTGGTTAAGCACCCCTGGGTTCAATCCTCAGTACCAAAAGCAAAAAAAAAAAGGTAAATCAGGCTGTGTGTGGTGGTGCACACCTGTAATCCCAGGACTCAGGAGTCTATGTAAAGAGGAAAGCAAGTTTGAGGTCAGCCTCAGCAACAAGGCCTGCAGCAATTTAGTGTGATCCTTTCTCAAAATAAAATTTTTAAAAAGGTTCAGGATATGGATCAGTGGTTAAGCAACTCTTGGTTCAATCCCTGGTACAAAAAAAAAAAAAAAAAAAGGAGGGGGGAATCACATTTCATTCCTTCCAGGAATAACTTCTCAGGCACTTTACAAGGCTTTGGGGAATGCAAGGGTGAATAAAACAGGGCAAGTATTGTGTTCGGATACAATCTAGTGAGGAAACAGACATCAATCACATAAACACACAAACACATGGAAAAAACTACAATTGAGGGGCTGGGGATATAGCTCAGTTGGTAGAGTGCTTGCCTTGCATGCACCACAAAAAAAAAAAAAAAAAAAAAAACACAACTGATATAAAACTGAAAGCGTTAAGGAACTTGCTCAAGTGACAGCTAGTTAAGTTGTGGAGCTCCGTGGCGTGAATCTGGAAAATGAAATAGGGTATGTGAAGTGCTGAACACACAATAAATGTTCAGTCTTTGTTCGTTGCTAGGTTTTATGTCGTTATTACTACTTATTATGGTCCCCTAAAGTAACTCAGCCTGTATGATTCATCTCCGTCTCTGCAAAGCTCAGGACTGTGTAGCTTCACTTTACAAAAGATCTAAGATGATACCTCTCCCCCCGTCACTCAGAAATACTGGTGCCAGACGAGAACCTGCAAAATAATGCACGTAAGGCGCCTAGCCCCTACTAAACGCTCATCAAGTGTTAGTTGGCAGGATTTACTACCTTTATTTTTTCACGTTCCTCTAAAGCAGAAAGAGTTATTTGATGAACCCCGTGTCCCCAGAACAAGGCCAGTGTCCTGCACAGAGCAAATGTACACTAAGTTTGCTAAATGAGCAGGAGCTAGTGGGCGCCCCTCACCTGCAGCAGCGGCAGGAGTAGCTGGTTGAGCTTCCGCCGCTCCAGAAGGCTGACCGCGCCCTCGCCCGTGCGGCCCATCTCGTTCAGCAACACCAGTACCGCGATCTTATATGGTGTCACCCAGTCCTTGATGCCGAACACGTTGGCGTGCACCACTCCATTGGTCATCATTGGATTGAAATAGAGGCTCTCGTGGACGCTGGCCATGGCGGCCCTCCGAGACTAAGTCTCGGAGACCCGCCACGCGCAGCGCCCAGCCGACGCCTCACGGCATACCTCAAGCGGGCCTGCACTTCCGCCCGCCAGCCCGTATTTCAGGAAACTGGCATCCAAGCTCTCGGCGGCATGTGGTCGGCCAATCATAGAGCACAGGGGAAGGCTATCACCAATCAGGATATCCAGTGGTACAGTGAGGGTGGGGCAAATATGGTGCATCAGGTGACTGATTCCCTACGGAAACAGTTGCCAAAGGAGAGCAAATTCCGGGTCAACGTGGGCAGAAAACAAGAATTGTAAAGAAGAATTGGGGCTTGTTGTCCCTGACTGAAAGGATTGAGAGGCTCCCCATTTGTTCATTCAATTTGAAAGCAGTTCAAGTTCGATTTTGAAATGGGTGTGTTTAGAAACAATTGAAATTAGCTGGGCTTGGGGCTGGGGCTGGGGCTATAGCTCAGTGGCTGATCACGTGCCTACCATGTTTTTTTTTTTCCAGTATTTCACAAATGCCATTTGCACCCAGCCAAGTCAGGTTACATAATATGTCCTTACGTGAAATAGAACATAAAGAATAACATTGCCTAATAAACTACAAACTTAATAATGTGGCATTCAAAATCCTCCAAAAGCAAGCTCCAGCCAATATTTTCAATCCCAGTTTTCATAATTTCCCTTCATCTGCACTTCTCAAAGACATTTGGTTCTCTCCAACCTGAATTATTATTACTAATCATTTACCATTCCTAATAGTTTTTATGCCCCTTGAAAGAAAAAAGGATGTATTAATTCAACTTTGGCTACACACAAGCATAAACTTGTGCCTAGCTTTTGTTGTCTGAATCCCATTTGTTTATGAATCCAGATGTTAGTAATGAGCAGTGAAATGCAAAACAATATAGCAGGGTCACCCGTTTCTTTGAAATTGCCTTTAATGAACAATGGAGTAACTTGTAGAACAACAACAGGTGTACTAACCTGAGCATAAATAAAGGGAAACAATTAAGAAATACCTGGAGAAAAATAGATCGATGGGGCTAACTTCTGGCAGGGTCCACAGAGGTTAGTGTAGCTGGTGCAAATATCCACGGGAGACAGGTGAGTTCAAGCAGAGGTTTATCAACAGAGAATATCTGCCAGGCTGCCCTTCTGCAAGGCGCAATAGCCTGCTGGAAAAAAAAACTCTTAACTATTTAGTCAAGTACAATGGGGTAGTTAAAAATTAACCCCTCTGGTCCTGAGAGTGTTACCTGGTGTCTTTGCGGTGGTTTCGGTAGTTAGGGACTCTTCGCAGGAGGACAGACGCTGATTTTCAAAATGGAGTTAGTTTGGCCTAAGGACCTAATAGGAGGTCATTGAAAAATTAGGATTTATGGCCATGGGTTTCTCAATGTATTTCAGAAGGGAAATATTATTAATGGTGCAAGATTGAGAAGATGAAGTCTGCCTGGTCATTGACCCCAGCACCCACATTAATATAGAATTGACTTGTATGAAGTCCCCCTGAATAGGAAGGTCACCATGACAATTCCAGAGAAGACCCCAGTTGGTCCAAGCCTCCCCTGCTGGATGTGAAAGAAGAGTAACATGTCTGATTGACAAACACTGTGGAAGGTGAACCCTGGCTCTCAAGGCTAGCATGAAACAGCAATAAATTTGGAGGCAGCATGGTTTCCTTACTGGTTCTCAGCTCAGAGTGTTCTTTGCTCAGGCCTTACTTTCATTTATGATAAAATTCCCTTACTTGATTTTTCTTCCTTCCTTCCTTCCTTCCTTCCTTCCTTCCTTCCTTTCTTTCTTTCTTTCTTTCTTTCTTTCTTTCTTTCTTTCTTTCTTTCTTTCTTTCTCTCTTTCTCTCTTTCTCTGTTTCTTCTTCTTCTTTTTGATTTAAATCTTTATTTTTCCATATCTTTAGTTTATTTATTTTTATGTGATGCTGAGGATGAAACCCAGTGTCTCCCATGTGCAAGGCAAGTGCTCTGCCATTGAGCCCCAGCCACAGCCACAGCCCCCTTGCTTGACTTTTCGTGTCTGACTTTAAGTTTTCTTTCTTCAAGACACAAAAACTGGGGTTTGGAGCTTCAGTTCCCCATGCTCCTGGGAGGGAGATACCTATGGGCTGAAAAACAGAGAAAGAAAGCCATTGATGGAAGCTAACTTCTATATCTTGAGAACTCGAGATGGCTTTTTGCAGGGAATTAAATATTTAAATAATCTCTTTCTTTGCCTCAGTTTTATTCCCTCTCCCTTTTATGAAAAAAGCAGACTTACAAATTCGCAGCTCTCTCAAGATCTTTTTGCATTTTGTACATAGAATTAAATGAAGTTTGACAAAAGGTATTTGTGGAATAAACGTCTGTCCAACCTGAAAATCCCAAATAGAGACACTTAACAAATGTAAAGAGCCAAATAATTTTACAAAATCCTGAACAATTTTACTACTTGGTAAGACTTCCAAGTCATTCTTTTTTTTTTTTTTTTTTTTTTTGGTATTGGGGTTTGAACCCAGAGGTTCTTAAGCACTGATCTACATCCCCAGCAGTTTATTTTTTAATTTTTAAAAAAATTTTTAGTTGTTAATGGACCTTTTTTTAAAAATTTATTTGTATGTGGTGCTGAGAATCAAATCCAATGCCTCACGCATGCTAGGCAAGTGCTCTACCACTGAGCCACAATTCCAGCCCTAGGTTTTATTTTTTATTTTGAGACAAAGTCTTACTAAGTTGCTTAGTACCTCACCTAAGTTGCTGAGGCTGGTTTTGAACTTGTGATCCTCCTGCCTTGGCCTCCCAAGCAGTGGGATAAGCATGTGCCTCCAGGCCTAGCCATTCATTCATTTAATCAATAAATATGTGCTGAATTTCTATTGTATTCAACCTCTATTCTAGGTGCTAGGGACCAAAAAGGGGTGAATTTCTAGACTATAAATTGTAAATTGGTGATTTCTGAACCAAATGTGGCCTATTTGACATTTTTATTTGCCATACATAATGTTTCCAACACTTAAAATGTGGAAATTTTAGCTCCTCCCTCTCCAATCTGTATGTCCAGCTTCACTTGAAAATTAGAAAATTTGGCAACATGGTTTATTCCTAAATGTTAACAATTGACTGGACATATCAGTCAAATAAATCTTTATTCAAGGCTCTTATCTCCATCTTGTCACAGTCCTCATCATTCTTTATTGTTCTTTAAGAGAGAACTTGCTTCACACATTTACCCTATGTTACCCACTGACTGAGCTTCATCAGCCACCATTTGAGTTGGTAACTCCTGTTTTATACTTCTCTGTTATTCGTATATACAGTAGTCCCCCTTTATCAAGACCTCCAGTAGATGCCTGAAATCTCAGATACTGCCAAATAAAATATACAAGTACAGTGATACCTTGACAGTTCATCTGGCAACAGACAGCTATTATATTACTAACAGGAAGGTAGCCTATACAGTGTGGATACCCAGGACAATAGGATGATTCATGCCTCCATTGGGATGGAGTAGGATGGTAAGAGACATTATCAAACTATCCAGAACAGTGCACAATTTTAAATTTATGAATTGTTTATTTCTGGAATTTTCCATTTGATATTTTCAAACCATGTTTGACCATAGGTAATTGAAACTGCAGAAAGCCAAACCACAGATAAGGAGAGACTACTATAGCTGATTTTTTAAGAACATGATTAAGGGCCTAGGTTGTGGCTCAGTGGTAGAGTGTTCACCTAGCATGTGTGAGGCATTGGGTTCAATCCTCAGCACCACATATAAATAAGTAAAAGGTCCATTGACAACTAAAAAAAGTATTTTAATAAAAAAGGATATGGTTCAATATTATCAAAAGTCTGAAAACATTTTAACTCCTAGAAATTTACTCTATTTCCTTAGAATTATTGAGCATCCTTCTACTATTTTTTCATGCTTCATTTATTATGTGCAAAATTTTATGAAATTATTGGTATAAGTAATTACCTCCTCTGATGGACTGTGAGTGCCTCAAGGACAAGGGCTTGTTTTTGCTTTTGTTTTTCATTGTTTGCATCTATGATATGCTCAATTATTGCCAAGAATCATTTGAATCAGAAGGGCTACAAATCCTCAAAATTCACTTAACAAATATTTTGGAGGAAATACGATGTGATGTGCTAAACATTGTGTTCAGTTCTAGGAATACAGCAGTGCGTATACAAACTATGTACTTGACCTTACAGAGGAAAAACAATGTCATAGGACACTAGTCTAAAGTACTTTGATGAGGGCTGGGGTTGTGGCTCAGAAGTAGAGCATGCATGAGGCACTGGGTTCAATCCCCAGCACCACATAAAAATAAAATAAAGATATTGTGTCCACCTAAAACTAAAAACTAAATATATATATATATATATATATATATATATATATATATATATATATATATATTTTAAAGTGCTTTGATGAGCTAGTCTCTGTCTCCACGAGCCTAAGGAGAACTGCTATTAGAGATGGAGACTGGCCTCCCTCACACTAACCTTTCAAAGCAGCACTCCAAGGCAATAAAGGAAACAAAGCTTTATAACTTGTAGTGGACTTTAGAACTTGTAGTGGTCTTGTAGTGGACTTTGTTTTGTCTACCTACCATGCTCTACCATCCTCTTTGCACAGTTACAGAACATTCTCCTGTGGATATAAGGAGGGGTGGGTGGCCCTGCCAGAGCCAATCCAATATTTCTCTGGGATTGCTCTATGGTCTCTAGAGAAAGAAGCACTCTCTTCTGAGACTGCTAAACTGGGATGTTGATGCCATATTCTTTGGTGCCTGGAAAAGACCTACTGTAGAGAGACCAAGGACAATCCACAAGAGAAAATGTAATTCAAGTAGTTTTGTTGTTGTTTGTTTGTTTGTTTTTTGGTACTGAGATTTAATCCTGATTTAACCCTTTACCACTGAGCTTACATCCCCAGCCCTTTTTTAATGTTTTAATTTTGGGGAGGAGGTAACAAGGATTGAACTCAGGGATACTCAACCACTGAACTACATCCCCCACCCCTATTTTTTCATTTCATTTTGAGACAAGGTCTCATTGATTTGCTTAATGCCTCACTTTTGCTGAGACTGGCTTTGAACTAGAGATMCTCCTGCCT